GGGATCTCATCGCGGTAAGGAGCAATGCATTCACATTCATATCCAGCTTGTGTATCCGTGCATTTCGCATGTTTATCGCAATCATTCAATGTATCCGATTCACATTCGTTGATAACTGAAAATCGTGAAATTACGAATCCTTATGCAGAAAAAAAAAGACTTTCGAGTGACCACGACTGCGAAATTATCATCGATAAAGTTATCTGAAATATTTTCTGAGTGTGTTTGAATGTGAACGGAACTTACCGAATGAACAGTTTGTACCCGGATTGTACGGGTCATTATCGTGATATTCAGCCTTACATCGGCATTCGTAGCCATCTTCACGATCTAAGCAGTCCGCGAAACGACTGCAGTTGTTCAAATGTGGATTGCGACACTCATCGATCAACTGAAAATGATGCCATTTGAAAATTAACACCTATCATCAATGAATTCTTGGCAATAAGGATTGGATCCGTTGGCATCTTAGAAGTGTTTTCTTTGATTTCTTTCTAAGAACTGATTTCAATTTTGCCCAATTGTGATGATACTAAACATCGTTTTGAATTTCATAGTATTTTTATTAATAAGTAATGGATTGCTTGAAATTATTCATACTCACAACAGCGCATTTACGGCCAGGCTTGTTGGACGGGTCTGGAGAAACATCCTTTGCTCCGACTGGACATACGCAAGTGTATCCTCCTTGTTGATCGTGGCACGTAGCCACTGGATCACAATCGTTTAACGAACTATCCAAGCATTCATTCACCTCCTCCTTACATTCTCTTCCTGAATCGACGACATCACCATCATCATCATCACATTTTGGATATTCAACGCTCACTGACACAAGATTAGACATTAGCGATCGCCGAAATAATTCACGCTTCAGATGAACCAAAAATGAGAACGCTTTGTAACTTATAGCAAATATTGAGTGGATGAACCTGGATTAGACGGGTTCGCATCTATGTATCCATCCCGGCATGAGCACTTGTAGCGTTCAGGTCCGGTAACTTCCGTGCAAATCGCAGCCGGATGACAGTCATGCTTGCTTGGATCCATACACACTTGCTCAACGCATGCTCGACCTTAGAAGATCGATTTTCAGTTTGGCACCAACAAATTGGACTCATTACTAGGTGTCATCGTTACTGATTGTTTATTACTGATTACTCGTCATCTGATGACCTATTGTTTATCATTCTTACTGCGCAATGGATAACACCGCAATCACACAATCGTTTTGCACAAGTTGATTTTGTCGGAACATGAAACTAATTTAAATCATCTGCAATAGGCGAATGAATGCTATTGAATTACTGGTGTTTCTGATTGTGAATATCATTAGGTCGTCCCAGTCTAACATAGTTTTCATTCCTTTCAACGGGGTTTTCATTCTTTTACTTGCTGCTATAATCACTCTCATAGCTTTTGTCACCAANCTCTTCTGCTAATTTCTCATTCACTTCACTCAACAATTAAAGTCAAATTCTCATTCTATCAAATACACTCTATAATTGATCATTTGACTGTTGATCAATGATATTCGATTGCTGTATTGTTGTTTTCGGTTGTCAACACTCGTTAGCGTATCAAGTAAACAGTATATGCTACAGAATAAGAAATCGATTCGAACTGTGAAGTGAAACGAGACGAAATGAATGAGAAAAACTCATCAAGAGAACGACATTCGCATGTAATAGCTATGAGAGTGAATACAACACGTCTGAAAAGAATGAGAATCTATCTGAAACCACTTTGAAGTAAGCATCGACTGCCAGTTCATCAAACGGGGTAATGGAGCACCCGAACGTGAGGACCACTGCTATATTGTACGCAAGAAAATAATTATTCATTCTTGCCGTAAGCACTCACCAGGTTTAGATGGATCTGGGCTTTTATCGATGTAACCAGCACTACATACACAATCGTACGAACTCGCTCCTCGTTCGATACATCGCGCATTCGCATCACAGTCATGACCTCCTTCCGAACAAATGCGATTAGCTGAAAATAAAAACAGAGATCATTCATCCTTAATCGCTCTTCCGATCTTTCCTTCTGCTTGGCTTCACCGTGAATCGCTTCCCCATAACTTGCAACCTCTCGAACCAGCTTCATGATAACCTTTTTTCAATTATTTGAAAGCGAACCTTTTTTGCAGTTTCGTCCAGGATTACGAAGTTCATCGTCGTCCATGAAACCTTCCTTACACTGACATTTATAGCCTTCTCGAGTATCTATGCAAAACGCATTCTCGCTACACGTATTCAACGTTTTATCGGCGCATTCGTTCACCAACGCTCGACAATCCGTTCCGGCAAAGTGACTCGGATTCGGACTGAAAAATGAATTTTGAAATTTTGGAATATTTGAGGGATTTTTACNAAATCAACGAAGTTTTCTTTACATCGGCAAACGAAACCATTAGGAAGATTGATGCAAACGGCATTCACCGAACAATTATGCGTTCCTGATGTACACTCATCGATTTCTGAATTCAACGGAAACTCAATCCTTGCAGAGGTTACGCCGTAAAATTTGATGTAGCTATGACAATTCAAACCAAACACTTGATTGCTTCTACTATTCCAACCCATTCATGCTAAGATATGCTTCGAGTATTGCTATGGTTTGGTGGTTTTCATGATTAAATTGAGCTATTGACAACTTACGCTGTTT